CAGCGTTTACTTTTCTCAATCTTGAAATATTACAATAACACAAAAGAGACGGCAGAATCTCGATTTCGTTGAAGAAGGAACGAAACGGTAACGATGCAATAAAGGAAGAGTGAACAAGGCGAGTGTACACGAGCCTTCTAAATGAAATCAGTTTCGCGTCGTTTCATATTGGACGCTCGTATGTTTGCGGACGGCGGTTAATTAAAGTTGGTATCCGATCGTAAAGTTTGATCGCGTTAAAGGGGCCATAAATCGGGGTGGCTGGGCCACGGAGGAAGGGTTGCGTCGTCGTCTTTCGCGGAATATTTTTAGAGCGGTTTACAGCGTCGACTTTGAAACGCAATAGCACGTCCCGTGTCTCGTACACCGTTCGAACCAACTCACACGACGACGTATCGTCTGCGTACAAACGAACTTTGAGCGAACGTAGAAAAAGTGGTGGGGGATAATGCTCGTTGAACCCTGGAAGAAATTTTCGTTTTATTTCACTCGGTCGACCATGCCTGTGATTAAATAATTTTCCGTACGTCGAGCCGGCAGCCCTTCGTAAACACGGGATTTTCTTCTTTTAAAACGGAGCCAGGGGTGCGCCACAGCGCTGCGCTTTATTTTTAAAAACCCGATTCTATTTCGGTGGCCCCTTTCATTAACTTTTTATTACCGTGGCGAACGCGTTCGACGGTTCCGTGGCACCGTGACTCGCGGCCAACCGCGGACCTTTCACGCCGATTCGCGTCGAAGGTCGAATTCAACTATTTCATTTCAAATTCCAATTTGTAATGGTTTACCGTATGAACAGAATGAAATCACTGACAAAATTCCAGCTACACAGATTTTGCATAATATTCTTTAGTGTGAATCGAAAATTTTGGAAAGCGACCAAATAGGGACAGCTCTTGAATAAAAATCGACCGATCGATGAAAGTGATTCCCTTGTGAGAATGGGAACTACAGATAAAACCTGTTATTACCTAAATGGCGGATGTTAGAAGACGGAAAAATGAGGGAACGTTATTCATAGCGCGCTTATAAATATATCACGGCTCTAGTCATTTCATCGGAGTGTTTATGACGGAAAACACACCTGTATACACATGCCAGCCACATGTGTATTGTATATATATATATATATATATATATATATATATGTATATATTCATATACTTCTGCCTCGTGGCATTGTCAACAAATCGTTATACCGCACTTTACCCATCAGGGCACGAGCGACTGCTCTCTAGTTTCACTTTAATTAACTATCACCGCGATACCATGACGAATTGTCACCAAAAAACGAGCAACGTCTAATTACCTGTAGAATGTAATTAAACTCGAAAATTCTTATTAAACGAGATGCAATGAACGAAATAGAACAGGGAGAGTTGATACGGACGGAATTACAATACAAACTGTAGAACTGCTCGGCTGACACTGAATACCCAAGTGATATCTATCTAACTTTTACCGTAGCTCTTTGCATTCGTATCGTCTCCAAAGTCCAACTTTTGCTACCAAGCGAAGTACTATGAAGATTAGAATGTTTGTGTGTGTGTATCTTAAATTGTATACTGATTGATGTTTGATTATCAAGTGAATGAAAACTATTATATATTACTTACTTATAAATGATTAAAAATTAGAAGGTCTGTTCGTATACCCGGCCTATGTCGTTATGTTTACCAACGACGAGTCAGCCACCCTCCCTGTCCTGCTGGTCCGTTGACCCCACGAATATCCTATGGTTAGGCAAACGTTCAATATCCGAGCTCGCGAGGCACGTCGTCGTCCTACGCCGAGATATTCATTCCGGTCTAACAGGGACCTCTAAGAAAACGCGGTTAACCGTGTCCCTTGTCGCTCTCCCTTCAATATTATCAATCATTATCCTGAACGTGGACGTAATACGCGATTAAATTCAACTCAGACGATGACAGAAACGATCTGATCTTCCACAGACCAGTGGGGAATGCTAGTTTTAACATGATTAAAAACAGTAGTGCATGTAATGAAATGAAAATGCATAAATTAATGACGAGCGTCGTTCATTTTAAGAGTTCTTATTGTCACTTAGAAGACCGAGAACATGAGAGGAAGCAATCGTTTCATCTCGTGAAATCGTAACGTTTAATTATTGTCTATTTCAAAATGTTTGAATACATCGAATCTGCAACGATGTTAACTGGATAATAAACCGACCCGAAGCAGTGTCGTGATCGAATTCGGTGATAACCGGTTTGGCCAGATATTAGAGAGCTATCATTTCGCTTTGACGATCATAAATTCGTCTGACAAAGACATCGGGACGACGATTGATTCGGTAGTTTTCGGTATTAAATGATTCAAGCATCGCGTCGCTCGCAATACCGCTGGCATTAATTGTAAGAGGATTTGGCCGACGTTATTGGCCTGTAGGTATTACACGTTCCGTCCTGCCAAATTGATTAACGAGGAATAACGACGTCGTACAAACCGGCGATGTCGAGGAAACTTTGCTTGGTGATCAATTTCCCCGGGAGGAATACCATTCGAAAAACAATAAAAATCCTGCGCCGCTGTTCCATTTAAAATTCGTTATCGACGGAAAATGATGATCACCGTAAATTAAAATATGTCCTCGACGAAAAATATGAGAACGTGGCCCGACGCGAAAAATATTCCAGCCGGCTGTCGCAATTAGCGTGGGATTTTTTATAATTCGAGGACTGGCAAATGGGTTAAAAAGAGATAACGCGCGCGACGACAGGAGGGCCAAAAAATATTACACACGCTGTTCAACGAACGTTCGGGGGACTGACTGAAAAGGATAGCCACTTTAATTACCGGCCTCGCGGATCGATCGTGCTCGCAGCGGAATTAAACTGACGCGCACTTTTTCAGTGAAGAAAAAAGAACTTGTATAATTATGCCGAGGTTCGTCGCCGCAAGAATTGATGCGTTGAATCGTGATGGTTCGTTGCCGCAAACTCTTTCAACAATCATCGAGCGTAGCTAATCATCGGATCAAACAAACCGATGAACCACGGGAATTAGAGTCAATTCCAGTGCGTGTGCAGTCAGTAAACTTGGTCAGCTTTGATACAACGTCCAGCCGGGAGGTAAATCTGCCTCCGTTCGAAATCAACGACCGTTTCCCGGAAATTGTTTAACGCGAAATCATGAAACGCGTTTAGATTAAAGACTTCGAGCCACGCTAAACATCGTCTGCCTCTGAGGATCTTATCTTTGATCTCCTAAATACTCGGAAGGGGTGGGATCCTCCCTCTTGTTGGCGGCGCATCTAACGATGACTTTACCAGGAATGTCGGCCAACGTTTCGATCAAATCACTTCTTTGGAAACAATGCATACTCTCCGAAATAATTCTCCAGCTAGTTTTCTGACACATGTATTCATAGAAAATCTTTGTAAACATTTTCATCCGAGGAACAATTATTAATTGTTCGAATAAATAATCTCCCAAGAAGATCGCAATTACAGTAGAACCCGATTAAATAAACGTATTGAATCCCGATTATTTTTCTTCCACGTCTCTCGACGAAATTCTTAATGAAACGAGTAGAAGAAAACAATAATCAGACCGTTTCCGGGGAACGACAGTGGTATTATATTATAAGAACCGGGAAACATTCGCAACAGAAGGAACAACAAATATTCACGCGATCAAATGTTTTCGTAGAAATCAACGGTTGCCGGGTAAAACAGCCAAGACGAATATCGATGTAAAACAGCCAAGACGAATATCGATGTAAATCAGCGTAGAAAAATAGTCTATCCCTCTGGGGCAGCGAGTTATTTTCGGAAGTGACGAAGACTCTTCTGATACGTCGAGTCACGATGAAACGATACGAAAATGCACTTCTTAATGAACCGTTGGAAGCGTAATAAGATCCGTAAAGAAGATCGAGAAACGAGCGTACGAGAAGTTCGACGATTCGAGCATCGTCGATGAAACGACCACCGGTGCTGGACGAAAGAATCGAAAGACGAACAAGTAATTCGGCCCTACAGTTATGATGCGCATCATTGCGCGTACCTTGGAACCGCTCGTTTCTCGTCGAGCCAGAAATACACGATTTCGCGGTAGCCGGAGGGAGAGGCCGAGCCCGACGTGGGAGCGAGCGAGAGATCAGCAACGAGGAGATAAGCGAAAATAGAGTATCTATAGTCGTGACGCGGACTCGAGCACGACTTCCTCGAAACTCCCTGATGTTGCTCGCCACGCGAGTCTCCGTTCCCAGAGCCGGTGCACGCTTGAAAAATCGTTTTATCCGTCTGTTTGAACTCACTCGCCTCTGCCGTGCTCGATTCCCGATCCACCGTTTCTTGAAAGTATCTGGACACCGTTTCTCGCGCCGTGCGATACGAAACGTTATCGACCTATTTCATTTACGGACGAGGAAGTGTCCACGTACGTACTTTTGAGCGGCAGTGTAATCGCACGGCCGTGTATCTCGAGGAAAGCCCCACCCGAAACGCGTGCGTCACGTCATATAAACGTGAAAAGGGAGCGTCGACTTTTTTCTGCGAGGAGAAAGAGAAAGAAAGAGAGAACGCGCGAGGGAGATCATTATTAACCTTCGGGACCACTCTAATTTGGTTCCGGATATCGTTCCGATTTTTCGTGCTGCTACAAATAGATCTCCTTTCGGTTTCGTTTGTTATTATACGAGCCTCCTCCTACCGAGTCGCCCACACAGTGGTGTAAGTCGCGCGTTGATCAGACATCACGTGCGCATACATGGGATCTTGTACGTTTACCATGGGACATCGACCAGCTCTGGCGAAGCTTTTAACGCGACACTTCCGACTTTTTCATAAATATTTTGTTACCAAACATCCAGGATAAAATTGAATCGAATAAACGATCATCTGTCGCGCTCGATACATTGATATTATATCGGTAAACCGTGGATTGTATAATTTTATCATATACGTGCTGCATGCAACGCACGATCTTTAAACGACGAGATTCTTAGAAGATCGGTTAGAACCTAACGAGATTACCTTTGCTGGTGAGGCTGAAGCTTCTCAGTCTGTAGCTATCCTCGTCCTCGCCATCCTCCCTCGCGGGCATCTGCGACGAGGAGTCGGGAACGTCCAGAAACGCGTTGCTCTTCCTGTGATGGCTGTGGTGCATGCTTTGGCCCCTTCGGCTTCCTCTCCGCCTCAGACCGGGGCTGACGTCGTTATCGGTCAGCCTGGGCTCGCTGCTGCAGTGCGCCGACTTAACGGTACCCTCATGGTGATGATGATGGTGATGCGCAGCTGAGAATCAATTTTTAAATGCCACTTCTGACATCCCTTTCGTACGTCTGCTTGCATTTGATTCGTTTAAGTATTTTAAGGGAACAAAGAGACTTCCTTGGAAGATCCTCAGCAGACACAGGCTTTTAGAGAAGCCTCGAAAGAACTCAACGATGAGATGCTTTTGATCCCATCAAAGAACGTTCGTCTCGCATAAGATAAATCAAAGACTGCTCTTATTTCGATTCGCTCCCTTCTCTTTTTTTTTCTGATCGCCAAAGTGGAACCGAAGTGATAGATGGTGATCGATGTTGACATGCGATATCGCTCATGACATGCAAATCAATATTTTTTTCTTCCTCCCGCACGCGATGACAAACGACGGCCTTCATTATTGTTTACGATAAAATTATCGAAAGCGACGGTAGTACTTTTGTTGAAATGCAACATGACACGTACAATCTATCACGAACATCGCGTATATTTAAATAATAAAAAAATATCTCAGATTTCGCTGCAACATCGTTTATTACGGAGACGTGCACGTGAAATCGTAATAACGAGCTAATATTTGTTGTTTTCTTTACGAACTTCGCCTTTTACGATAAAATTATTGAACGTGACGTGAAACGCAAGGGTATAACGAGAGACTCACGTGCGTCGAACAACAGGATGTGATGAAATAAATGAAACGAAAGGTCGTAGCATCGTGAAAGCGTGGCGCAAGGGACGCGGTGTACGCACGCTTTTACGCACGCGTTTCACGCTTCAGCTTCTATTCTGGCAGCGTTCGTTTTGGTAGTAGGTCACTGACAGGCTAAACAGGCCTCCACGGTGCCAGTGCACCACAGAGAGATCACCTGACGCGTCCGATTCAAAAATAAAATTACGAGACACCATCTGAAAGATTCTATTGCTCCGTTCCAAACGGTACGACCTGATCTGCCTCGATTCTTTCGTCGGATAATAAAATGAATTACACCGGAGAACGTGAGAAGCGTGCAACGAGAAAACGCGATGGCATTTCCAGCTATTAACCAAAATTCTACCGGGAACAGATTAATTCTTCCTTCGTAAAATCCAATGAATTCTTCATAACGGAAAGATGTGAATACCTCATCAATCAAATTTCATTATATAATTCGTATTAAAAATTAAATTAACAAACAGCGAAGCTTTCAGCTTTAAAGATGTATTGGCTATACAGTCAATCCCAAAAGTTTATGTACCTTAGAAAAACGCATTACCTATAATTAAAAAGAAATCAGACGTCGGAAGAACAATGCTAATAATAAATAGCTACGTGCTAAAAAGTATAGAAGGAAATATCCAATTAAGTATTGACGCTGACGACTAATTTTTTTCTACAAAATTTCGAAAAATGCTTCAAATAAAAGTTATTTTCCTTCTAATTTCGATATTTAACGAGTTACGTATGATTATTTGGCATTTTATTGATGTTGACAAAATCCGACCATCCCAGCGTCGAAACGACGAACTTTTGGCAAAAAATTTCATTTTCCCTTAATTACTCCTAAACCGTTGAATTTACGGGAAAATTGTATACAACCTCTCTTATAGAGGACGACGAGATCTACAATTTCTGTATAAAAGTTTTTCGCTAGCATTAATATTTAAAGAGTTATGGACGAAAAACGAAAAAATAGTTTTTTGCCAATTACTCGTTAACTATTGATGATAACGAAAAACTTTTACATGGAAATTGTAGATCTCGTCGTCCTCTACAAGAAAGGTCATATGCAATTTTTCCGTGTGTCCAACGGTTTGGGAGCAAAATTGGCAAAAAACGAAAATTTGGAAGAAATTGAAGGAATACCCTTGGAAAAATCTCGGAACAATCGAAAATTTTTTGTTGTTGTTTATTATTAGCAATGTTCTTCCGACGTCTGATTTCTTTTTAAAAAATGCGTTTCTAAAGTGCATAAACTCTTGGGATTGATTGTATAGCCAATACATCCTTAAGAATGACAGAACGTAACGTTTTACTTTTATCAATCGAACAGTCGACGCTCGTGACGTCACGACCGCGGCGTCGTTCGTTTTAAAAATGGATGGTTGCACAGGCGGAGGCATTGAACCGCGGAGAACAACGTTATCTCCTACTGTTTCGCGTCCCATCGAATGCTATAGCCCGCGTGGTATCGCTCGCGCGAAAAGTCTAATGTGGTCTTTACTGGAAATTCAGTTCGTCGAGTAACTTCCGAGACTACGTCGACGATCATTCTGCGAACGTACGATCACCTCTAAACAGGTTCCACCGGAGAATCTTCCATCAAACAGAAGAATCGCGTTTCGACGAAATGATCTTCGTATGACACGCGGAAATGAGTCTCGCTACCTGTATGTAAATTGATCGAACACGCGAGACTGAGAAACGGTAATCGAATCAAGAGACATGGAAGCGATTTCCAAGGAGATGGAAGAAAAGTCGTTGGGGTAGTACCTTGGGCAGCGGCACGACGACGTATACTCTTGTTTGCCCCGGAGACACGAGCGCTTTGGGATCTGGTGGCGGGTCTACGTTTCCTGGTCGGCGTATTGGTGTCGGGCGTCCCACTGCCGCTATCCTTGTCAATCTTGTCCCTCTCCCTGGCACCCGAGGGAGGCATTGTCTCGATCATTTGTTCCATGCTCGAGAATCCCGGGGCACAGATCGAGGCTGATCTCGTCTTCCGGCGTAGCGAGTTCTCCGCCATCCTTCGATTTCCGGTATCCCTCGACGTTTCGAAGCGTTCCAAGTCCTGTTCTCGAAATCCTTTATCCTCAGTCTTCGGGAACGGATCCTCCTGTCGCTCTTCCCCTTTGAACTTACGACCTCTCGGAAGAGCGAAAACCACCGGAGTTCGATCGTCCTCGGACGAGTCCGTGAGAGTTCACGCTCGAGCACAGATTCGACCGTTCGATTACAAGTTCTCGCGTGACACAGAGTCTTCGGACGCGACTCGTGGACCTCCACCTCCGCCTCCTCCCCCTGGCCCTCCAGAGAGGACGAAGTTCGAATTCTAAAGCAACACGTGGTATCGCGTCTGGTTAATTGTGAAACTGGACGCGCGCTGTTTCCCCTTCGAGATCTCGGTCAAATTAGAATAATGCCATTCGAAGTAGCACGAAGACACGATTTCATTTTAACTATACTTCGGGATACGTAATTGCGATCGTACGCTCGAGTTCAAGTGCTTCGTCACCTCTGATCACCAGCAAAACGGACGAAACGAATCGTGCGTTAGACTCGATGAAGAAACGAAGTTGCAAATTCCATGTTTAAATGGGATTTTAATGAAGACAAGGACGTCCCTGTTCGGCTTTATTGGAAATGTTCGTACAGAGGATCTTCTGATTTTATTACGTGAACCCGACCGTACCGTCGAATTTTTTGCTTTCAAAATAACTTCCATGGTTCGTCGGAAGCATCGTTTCGACGACTCGAGGAACGGTTTCCCTTTTTTATCGCGGAGAGGTAGAAACGTTTCTGTCCGTTCTAAATGGAACCAGGTGCTTTTTTCGTCGGTGTGTCTCGTACGGGAAATCACGATTTCTGCGAGACGCAGAAAATACATTTTTGGCAACGCGTTCACGATTATTAAATATTGTGGGCTAGGAATAGAAAGTCGTGAAACTCGTTCGACGCGCAAAGTACCGTTGCGCGAGTTCCGAATAATTTATCTCCCCAGCCGGCGGCAGGAAGGGAGAAGGAAGAGAGAAGAGTAAAGCAATTCCACGATTTCCCCGGTCCTCGCCCATTAACATTGTAATTACCCTTTCTAGTTACCCGGGCCCGTAGTTACTATGCCATTTGAAATTTCCTCGCTCCGGCCAGACAGTTTATTTGCAGAAAAATAATTCACTTTCCCAAATAACAGTTTGTCGTCCAAAAAATCAGAACGACACTCGTTGCGTTCGGACCCGACAGAATCGTGCAACAGTTTTGCAATTATGAAGAAACGTGGGTAGATCCCAATGTTCGTCAAACTGCTGAGCTCTTCGTAAGATCATTTCGCCCAACGTTGATCACGATGACGAGGAAACTGGGATTTCTCGAAAGAGGGCAAAGGGCAGGCTCGACGTCGAGCATCCTACTCGCACGCAGATACGACCTTATCACGGTGTAAACTCGCGTAATTTGTTCGCAGACGTACGAAATGTCTGACAAACCCTATTAAAGGCCGCACGGACTGTGCTCGCATGGGTGAACCGTGCAACGCGAACGCGACGTATGCACTGTTATAGAACCATAATAGAAAGTTTTATAGCGCGCGGATGTGTCAGACTTTAATCTTAGCGGGTGATGGACGAATTATTTTCGACTCATTCCCAACAGAACGGTAATTAATTCTTACGAACGAAATATGAATCGTGATAATTGAGAAAAAAGGATCGAAGATACTTTTGCCTGCAACGAGTCCGTCTTGACCATCCCTGGAGGAAACTCGAGAGGAATTTGGACACAAACTCGCTTGCCGATGACCGAGATCTCGATCGTTTCAATGAACGAACGTACGATTAATCGGTGTAAAGAGCACAAGGGTCGCGTTTACCACTTCCGGTGGCCGGCACGAAACGACGATTCGCTGGTCATTTTTCCTCGTTCGCGTAGTCACATGTATCGAGACTCCAAGCGGATTCTGTGTGAAACGGGGAAAAAGTCGACAGGACACGCGCGCGTTTATCGAAAGAACGGGAGCCGAAGCACGCTTGATACACGTTCGACGGTACGCGGCATACTGAGGGTACTCCGGGCGCAGCGACGTCGACGTCGCGACGCCAGGCGTCGTGAAATCTCGATACGCCTCGCGGCGACGCTCGACGAACCTCGTGTACACGCTGGCCAACGTCCAAGATACACGGACCGACTGAACCGCGCTCGTCGTGGTCAGGATACTCCGGAAATTTGCATTCATCATAAAACCGAAAAGCGCAGAAATACGTGAAACGTCAGTTTCGCGTGGAATGAGAGAGAACGAACGAAACCTACGGTCTTCATAATTAGAAAGAGAAACGACGATACAAGTCCTGAGCTAGTGATCGTTATTTGCATCATAAGATAGTGTGAAAAAGAAGTCCTTATCGCCAAACAGAAGATCGTTCAAACGCAAGGATCGTAACGATACGATACGATTTGAAATATGGGGCTGAGGCGGAAGACTGGTACGATAATGGAGATATCAAGATGACTAATGCTGAAAGAAAGAGGCTACCAGCGATCCTGACGTTAACTTTTGGCTAACGGAGTATTTACGAGCTGCCGAGGCATGTTCGCTTACGATTTTACGAGCTCTTCATTGTCTAGGCTCTGAGTTCTAGAGCTTAGAATCTATGAAGAACATTAGGCTGTACATTAGAAGTGTGTTTCGTTCCTTGAGCCGTTCCACTGAAAAAATGGATTTGTTTTGAAAGATCACCTCGGGTATTTAAAATTGGATAGGATTGTTGAAGACAGACTCTTGTATAATACAATCGGTTCGACTACGGACCAAGCAAACTCGATTCTTAATAACAGTTTTGAACTTCTTCGAAAACCAACAATTTTTAGAAGGCATTATATCATCGCAATAATCGTAAAACAACGATGAAACATTTTCCAGTCGTTCTTTCTCTCTTCCAAGAAAATCGTTCAGCTTTCGCGGTTCGACGTTATGCAATAACAATTACAAGAATTATGTACGAATATCCTTTTGACAATGACTCGATTCTAGAACGACCACTTTATCAATAAACTCTCTCGTTGCCGATGACTAATCAATACGAATCGGTAAGGGTTGAATCCGTAAACGACGAAGCTCCGTGAAGATGTTACCGTTGGCGCATATATCGTTCATTCGCGATAATGATGAACGCGTCGTTTGATTTTTGGCGATGGGTAAAGTGCCCAAGTTTTTGAGTACTCACACAAAAGAGCAGAGAGTAAGGGCACGGACGCTTACGCGGTTTCGCTGGAAGACTATTGTGAGAATTTTCGCTCTCAAACGATTTCGCAGAAACTAACACCGTCCCGGTGGTTCTCTTTCTTCTTGCAATTAATCACCTCGCCGCGGAACGAATCAAAGCTTCCGAGAAAGTACGAAGGTCAACGTCCATCGCGGCTTGATTTATTATTAGAAGTACAAGGTCCGATGCCACCTTGGCGAAACTGCCACGCGAATACGATATTCCAATAACTACTTGTTCTGAAGTGCCACACTGCCAGTCAGAAATGTGCTGATCAAAGTTGATACGATATTTGACGCAACGAAATGTCGACGTTTCCTCTATAAAAGCATGTATGTAAAAGGTGGACGGCAGGTTTAACGTCGAAGTAGAGATGTTTCTTATGAAATGCAGCTTCCCTTCGCGAGCCGAAATGTAGTCGTAAAGGAAAATAATGAGCGCGATACTCCGGCTTGCTTCAGTGGAAGCAGCCATAAATCCACGGCCGTGTTCCACGACGACCCTACCAGTCGTGTTTTTCGAAAAGGAACGACCGTAACATTTTCAACCGCACCCTAATTATTCCGAAGCCTCTCCAGCGGGGACACAATTGTTCAATCGAGAAATTCTCGTTTTTCATCTCGTCGAAAGAGAAATCAGTTCTTTATCACGCTACAACAATGATCGATCGGAGAGTCACTTCGACGTTTCCACAAAAGTAGTTGGATGCGTTTATCACTGAACAGAGTTCGCGTTATGAATTTACGATGCTGCCCAGAGCGAAGCACGTCTTGTTTGCTTTTTCTCGGTCGAAGAGAAGACCCGGGATTTGTAATGAAATCAGAAACAATGTACAGCGTTTGTACCGTTTTGTATGAGGTTTATATTAACACGCCTCGGCGAGCAGAGATTAATCGCGAGCAGAGCCGAGAGAAACAGGGTGAGCGTGGGTTCATGTTTAACACGCGAGTCGCCAACTGGGTTAATATCCGTCTTATCGTTGCCGTTACCTCCGGGATCTGCCGGGATCTACGAGAAAACGTAGTTTCCTCGAACCTCGCTAATTTGTACTTACACGAAACGAAATGTAATAAATACACAAATAAATGTATCGCGTTTCAATCGTGAACAATTCGTGAGAGAAAAGTCGAAACGTTACTTGAGAGAATTACGTACCTCGCGAACGTAATGCCACCGTAAAACTAAATGAACCGATCGATCTTCTGCGTTCGTACGTCGAGAAAAGTCTTTTTACAAAATCCATGAAGAAGGGCAGAAGGGCTTAAAATATTATTTAAGGTGAAACGAACCAATGCGTCTTTTGCTGAGAGAATCGCAGAGAACAAGTGGAACCTTTCACGTAAGTGATCCAACAGATTCTAAACTCTACTTTCACGTATAATCCACTTTGTCGGTGGAACCTGGGAGGAAAGCTTCTTTCTCCAACCCTCGTGCTTTCTTCGCCTCGCCCTATGTTCCAGGGCATTATGAGGGAACGGCACGAGTATTTTTGACCCGTGGCGGTTTGAAGCTATTTCAGTACCGAATCGTCGACCAACGTCCCAGGAACTTACCTCGCATCGCCTAGTTCGTTCTTTGTTCCTCTCGTTAATCGAACATCTACCTGATGGATCATGAAATGTTTGTTTCCGAAGTTCGTTTAATCGAACGATCACCGTGAAAGTTTCAACTTTCAACGAATCGACTGAGTCGTTCCGAAAGCGGACTAACCACGATCGTCATTGACCCTCTGCGAAAATAAATCTGTAAACGTCGCGTGCGAACAAAGAGAAGGGGACGCGATGCGACGAACCCGATGATTTTAGAAATAGGACGACGGCGACGGAGGAGTCAAAGTATCCGTAGAAATTGCTCGGGACGGAGAACGGTTGATTCATCCGGCCGAGCTTTTCGGAATCCCCGACCTTCGCTGGAAACCTTTGTACATAATAGATAGCTTTTGTGGTCTGACAAAGAAGGAGGATAGCGGCTCAGAGAAGCGAGACGAGAAAAGCTCCGTTCGAGTCGAACGATCTCCGTGAAACTTCGAGTCTCGCATCGAGATGATTTGCGTGATAATTAATTTCGTGATTAGCCAAATATATCGGTCGGCTTTCCCGTGCAAGTAATTTTTCTGTTCGTGGTTCGAAACTTGCTCGAGAATCCGTCCAACGACGGCGAGACAAAAGGAGCGAAACTGGCACAAGGGAAAATGAGAGGAAATTAAACCAAGTTCGACGGCGAATATGGGCCGCGTAATTCGGATTTCGCGAGAAATGCGAAGGGCAGGAGTCGATGGAAATTTAATATACATCGAACAGAACTCGAACACGGTCATGGCGAATCGAAGGCACGCGGCCCGTTATTCGAGATGATCTCCGAGCTCGCGGGTCACGATGCGACGTCCTCCGTACGACGAGGATTCGATTCGGTATACGCGCCGTATTGCACCATACATGCACATACGCACACGCATTGTTACATGGCGATTGCGGTAGACCGCGAAATCGGACGGACCCTAATTGTCTACACCGTGTTCGAGTTATTTGCCTCGTCCACGTCAACGTTGACCCGTCGATCAGTAAATTCCAGGCGAATTAAATGAGAGATGGTTGAAAATGAGCTGCCGATCGTTGAAATAATGGGACGAGCGTTCTTTTACGAAATTTCGGTTCGTATTCTCTAGAGAATCTTACGAATGAACGTAATGTGAAAAGATTAAACGTCGCCAACTTTGATATGTTCGTTCGTTCGATATCAGTCGTCGAATTAAAGAAGCATGCATACAAAATTCAATCGACTACGATGAATGTTGTTCTGCAAAATTACGTGGGAACTTGTAAAGGGATCGAATATAACTTCGTAACAATTATGCCGATACTCTGAGTTCGTGGGAACTGGTTCGTTACCTGAAATCGTAAAACGATGTTTGATGACGTCGGGATGAACGGAGGATGGTCCACAAAGACGCCAGCTAAATCTGATTCAACAGGCATTGTCGATACTATTATCTCGACCCTTTGACAGGTAAGTGACGTGTCACTGTAAATAGATATCGGATGTGTGTATGCACAAACAATCTTAAGTGCTCTTCGACAAAGCAACTGCACCAGAGTATCAACGTTGATCGAACAATGGCACGAGCAAACTTTCAATTCCTCGGGTCCATCAAGATCATTTCTACCTGTGAAAGTAATGAATTATCGCGTGCTTACCTGGATCATTTTCGTCCATGCTGTTGATCTCCAAATAGAATCTTAATGACACTCGAGACACATTTCCACAAATTTTTTCTTAATCAACAAACCGACACATTCATTTTCTGTTTTTCATTTCGTGCGATCGCCTCCCGCGCTATTTGACTCGTAGTGCGATCTATCGGTTCTCGTCGAAACCTTCGGTGAACGCGATCTATCGGTTTTTATCGGAATCAGGGTAGAAATCTACTGAATCGACCGTTGCACGCGCTCCCTCTTTGAGTATCCGCCTCTTGGCGCAGCACTTGTACGGGAATCACAAAGTCCCGGGCGTGACCACTCTCATTTCCTCTCTGGTAATAATATGTTTACGGCTTACGTTGAACAAAATAGTGATTTGTTTGCGGCGTTTTCGTGCGAGCCGTGAAAAGAAATAAATGGGCGTGTAGAAACGAAGCAGTTAGTTCGTTGATCATAGTAAAATGGAAGTGACTGCCGAGCCAACACCCGCGGCCACGGAAACCGCTTCTAATAATGAGCAAGAGCACAATGAGGAGGGTATGGAAGAGACCGAGGATTATAGTTTCGACGGTGAAGATTATAGGCATTTCGTGCCACGAGGACGAGGAGGATTTAGGTACGTTACGGTTTCTTCTGTCGTCCCGAACACTTCCACGCAGAGCGATTCGCTCGAAATATAATTCGGGAGTATAAGGTTAGCTTCCTGGCCGACCCCTCAGACTCCCGACCTCTCGAGCAAATCCACTGGCTGACGGAAAACGATCAAACTTCGGTACCGTCACCGATTCCCCTTACCACCCGTATAAATACTATGGAAACGCGACTGTCGCGTCTACGTACGCTCCGATACGACGAGATCATTTACCCACGATTTTCATTCGATCCACCGTTTCACCGATCACGAATCTCTGAATTTGACTCGTTCTCGATTCATCGCGAGAGTACTCACATCTTCAACGTTCTTCGTAAATGAATTTTGTACGATATGAAAAATTGTGTTCGATTCGTTCTACTCTGAAGTTCGTATGAGAGAAGATGAAGATGTTCGCAGTTGGGTAAATGATTCAGACGTATGGTACGTGAAGTTTCTGGTCACTACATACGAGAGTAATCGAGATGGTTGTGGCAGAGGTGGGTTTGATTTTCCGATGAGAGGCGGACCACTGAGGTTTAGAGGACGAGGATTTGGACCCAGAGGACCCATGTTTCGTGGAGCGAACAACGGATTTCCATTCGAGGGACCACCGAGGCCGAACTGTCCACCGGGTCCGACGGGGCCAAGATTTCGAGGACCGCCGCCGTTCGACCCTAGCTGGGGACCGATGGGGCCACCGAATCTGATGGGACCTCCGAACCTGATGGGACCTCCAGGAATGGTAATTATCATTCTACTCTATGGCTGCTCCTCTTCGAAGACCATTGCCCAATAAAGTGTAATTTCACTTTATATGCGATTAGCCACCGCCACACATGATGAATGGCCCAATTGGGACAGGTCCGGGACCGTACGGACCACCTCCTGGAATGGGACCGCCAAATATGAATAACGTAAATTTTCGTTTACAGAAACGTAGTGGGCCCGTGTTGAATGCCGTTATCGTAATATTGAGAACTCCATTATAGATTCCAGGTCAGCAGCAGCCGCCACAGCAACAGGTGCAGCAGCAAGCAAACATTCCAGGCTTAGATCTCAACGGAGAGGTATGGGTAGAAACGAAAACACCAGACGGCAAATCTTATTATTATAATATTCGTACAAGGGAGACTACGTGGACAAAACCAGAGGGACCAAACGTTAAAGTGATGGTACAAGACCAGGTCCGTTGAATTTCATTACGCTCGTCGAATTCCTTCGCGATCGTCTTCGTCACGTCGTGATTCTCGGTTACAGTTAGAACAGCTGGTTCACGGAGCATCTAAGCAAGCAGCCCCGTCGAACACACCTACTTCGACGGCCACCACCCCGAGTCAAATCGCCGAGAACCGAATCTCGCAGAACAGCGAGCAACCATCGACGAATAACGCGGACGCTATTAACCAGCTTAGCACGGCTCCTCCTGGCACAGGCCCGCCTCCGACCCTCGGCGAAACGCCGGACATGACTACGCAACCGGCCGATGCGACGCAGCCAAATGGTACAAGAATGTTCGTCGACGAACTTTGATGGAAAAATAAAAATCTAATAAAAACGTTTGCGCTTAGGTACGGCACCCGTGACCGTGGCCACTACCCCGTCCATGAACACCTCGGCAGTGAACACGAATATGATGCAACCCCCTCCTAATATGATACCGATGCAACATAGAATGCCGAATCAGTTCGGTGGACCGATCGCGACTCAGTTCGGGGCGGCACCTTTCGGTATGCCACCGCCAGGCTTCCAGCCCTTCGGGGGCTACGGCCCGCCACAGGCAAATTGGGGTAAGATTCATAGAACGATGCTCGAGCGTTCGAAATACTTTTACTTATAGTAAAAGAAAAAAATTATGTTCAGGTATGCCGCAAATGCCACACGGGGTAATGGCACCTCAAGCACCGGCGGAAGATCCAGCTATATTGGCTCAGCTCGATCAAGAACTGGTAGCGTCTGCCATGGTGTGGACCGAGCATCGCGCTCCGGATGGCAGACTGTATTATTACAATAGCAAAGCCGGGGAATCGGTATGGGAGAAGCCACAAGCGTTAAAAGATCTCGACAGTAAGTTTCTTAAGATCGCGATTTACGGTTACTTCGTACAAGCGTGTATATCGTGATTTCTTTCAGGTGCAAAATTAGCGCTCCGGCAAAAGGCGGAGGAGGCGACCGCGAACTCCGCAAATGCCGCCGTGACCAGCTCCACCGTTGCTAATAACGTGACTACCGAACCTGTGAAGCAGGAGAAACCTCAGGAAAGCAATCACGAAACCAAAGATAGTGTAAAAGAAGACGCTAATAAGCCGAAAAAGGAGGAAGCGGCGCCTAAAGAGGCCGCGAAACCTCAAGACAAGTCTCGACCAATCTCTAGCACACCAGTACCTGGAACTCCGTGGTATATAATATAGAAAAATGAATCTGACAGCGCAGCTTAAACGAGGGCGTAAATTTTAACTCTGCTCGGTAGGTGTGTCGTTTGGACGGGAGATGGACGCGTATTTTTCTACAATCCCTCGTCGCGTATCTCTGTTTGGGAGAGACCGGACGATCTCATCGGTCGTCAGGACGTCGACAAGATGGTGTCTACGCCACCGGATGCCGTGGTGCCTACCAAGACACCTCGACAGTCGGACACGAGCGAGAGCAGCGACGACGACCAGCCGACACCGGCGAAGAAGATAAAACAGGAGGATACGAAGAGTACGTATCACTTATATTCCGATAGAATCTTCAGACTGTGATCGTAATATGGGTGGTATAATTTTCAGCCGTAGTGCCGAAAGAAGAGGAGGAGAAAGAGAGCAAGAAGACCATTGACATCGGGAAAGAAGCTGCGATAGAGGCGGAAGTGCGGGCGGCCAGAGAGAGGGCGATCGTTCCCTTGGAGACGAGGATCAAATCGTTCAGGGACATGCTTGCAGAGAAAGATGTAAATGATCATTATTGATCGATGCAAATTGGCGCGAGATGAAATTGTTTTAATTTAAATAACGTTTGGAATAGGTGTCAGCGTTCAGCACCTGGGAGAAGGAGCTTCATAAAATCGTGTTTGACCCTCGTTATCTACTTTTGACGTCTAAAGAGAGGAAGCAGGTGTTCGAGAAGTACGTGAAGGAGAGGGCGGAGGAGGAGAGGCGGGAAAAGAGGAACAAAATGAAGGAACGCAAAGAACAATTCCAAAAACTGTTAGAAGAAGCCGGTCTTCATGGAAAGTACGTATTAAAATTTACAATGAACATCGTCGATGTAGTTCGTGTTTTATATGAACAATTGCTTTTTCGTCTAGATCCTCGTTTAGTGATTTCGCTCAGAAACATGGGCGCGATGAACGGTTTAAGAATGTAGAAAAGATGCGCGAACGGGAGAGCCTATTCAACGAATATCTGCTGGAAGTGCGAAAGAAGGAGAAAGAGGAAAAAACAGCGAAACGAGAACAGGTATTTTCATTTTATGAACATTGTCGCAACGAGGATATTGCTTTTCAGGACTTGTGCTACAGAAACTTGATCGAAAATCCTTTACGAATATTCTTGCTATAATTTAATCAGTGTCCTAAGTAAGAGATGAATCTTGTACATGTTAATTCCTAACGAACATCAAATTTCTGAAGCGTGCGAGAATCAAGGTACTTTCTGATTCCTTCGAACTGAATTTATGAACGAAATATGAGAAACGTGGTTCTTAGTATCTTATACCTTGATTCTCCACGTAGAATAAAAAGACAAGTTCATGTCCATTGAACCCTTCCTCTTTCCACACCGAACCACGTTCTCATACAAGCATCCTTCATTTTGCTCAGGAAAATCATAATAAGAATATCGAATAAAACTAGCATATAATATTAGAATCGCGATAAGTTATTTAAACGTCGAGCAAGTCTTTGTTCAGCACCGAAAGTCTAGAAGTTTGTATCGTTTTAAAGAAAAGACACGATGTGCGATGATACGATAAATAAGTAACGAATTCTGATCTCGAACAAGAACAGAATATACAGTATAATAACGCTTAACGAGTCTTTGTACTTTCAGCAATAATTAACGAGTTTCTTTCAGGTTCTATAGGTATGTTACTACTATTTTGTTCCACTTGTAAGATTTATAATTCTAATACGAGAAAAATTCGTAAAATTAACGGCTGAAGAACACATACCAGGAGAAGTTTCTCTGATAAAAATAAATCTCTACTCCAGTAGAAAATCAATCTCGATCTAGACAAAAAAGTTTTCGTAGCTGTAAGATGGGAGAATATAGAGAATATATAAAAAAACAAAAATCTTAGTATGTGACGGTTCCTTATATACTTATGTGTTCTGAACTCTCCACTTCAGTCAGGAGGCAGGCAGGACAGGTTCCGTATGTGGAGTGGCTTGGTTCTGAAGCTGGTTGGTGGCATGGATGATGTCATCTACCATCCCCACCTACACTGCGTGGCACAGTTGGCACACCCTCGCGCGCCGCATTCTTTACTCCAAAGCAGAGTCATGAGAATGAACGAACTCGGTATTTGTATATTACTCGTAATCCTCGTTACTTCAAAAGATTAACTTATCCCCAAAGAATCAAAGAAACAGTCTCAAAGCGAATAGGAAAGGAAATGAAATTTTGTCGGGCGAAAGACCCTCCGTCCTTTTTTAATGGTAGCTACGATTCCGAAAGCATTAGTCGCAAAATCTTGTTCCATTTTCTGGAGATAAAGAACCGTTAGTTTTGCATTAAGAGAAGCTACCAATCTTGCTTTACGTATAATTGATGTATCAACATAAGAACAAATGTATTTTCTTGTAGACCCTCTCTATCTCTCTCTCTCTCTCTCTCTCTCTCTCTCTGTTTCTCTCCCTGTCTCTCTAGTATATGATGTGTCAAATGTTCAAAAAAACTATTTATTATGGAGCATAACTTTTACTTGTTCTTATGTCAATACATGCAGTACCAGAGTTTAATTTCAATCGGTATTTAGACATTTCTCTTTTTTTTCACGTTACCACGAAAGTTTTTCTTGCCATGAAATGCGACACGAGCAGTTTTATTAAAATAATTAAATGCATTCGAAGCGACAAGATGAGTACATTGAAATAATAGAACGAGTGTGCTTTTACGAAATTTTGGTTTGTATTCTTCAGAGAACCTTGACTGCTTTCGTCTTTTTTTAAATAAAAAAGAGAACGAATAGAAGTGGACTTTGGAAATAAATCGAGTATCTTAGATGAAAGTCAATGACAATTGTGGCACAAAAGTTTCTTAGTTACGTTACGTGAAAATTCGGTGGGATTAGGATCCGAGTGATAACTGCAATAGAACGTAATATATTCAAGACCGAAATGTGCCAGCAACTTTAGTCATCTTTCATTGTTAAATAGAACGTGTATTAAGTTTACGTGAATCGAATGATAAATTATTACGTCGAAGATATTGTGTGGTCGTTCACAAATTACGTAATAGGAATTTGAAAATGAAAGATCGAGCAGAATTTTTACAAAAGAAAGTTCGAACGATTTCAGTGAAGTATAATTTCTCTACTTTTCCTTACTCGGTGTCGGTGAGTCATCGTAGCTCTTCATCTTATTTCGTAATTTGAACGGCTGAGAACAATGAATATTTTCAAAATCGATGTCGACGACTAACGAATCTTCTCTTTTCAGCAAGGGCAGCAGATAGAAATCATACCATTTTATATTCCGTCTCATCATTAAACTACGCAGCGTATTTCACTTTATGAAATCTCAATATTGATATAACTTGATACTAAAACGCGTCGCGTGTTTAATGATGACTCGGTCGGAAACATAATTATTCTTACAGCTATAATGATTGTAATTTTTTTCAGCGAAACTGACCAGCTTAATTCATTACAAAAAAAACCAAAAACAAAATTCCAACAAGTAGAGCCTTTAACGTTGTGATACCTCCTGACACGAACGAATGACATGAATGACTATTTCTTCTACCCCTAAACGAAATATAGTGTTTGAAAACCAATGAAAAGGTTTGCAAGTTGACATTGTTCGATCCACATTACGAGTCATTAATTTTTCACAGACATGCGTAATAATAAACATTATAATGGTGATCGTAATGTGGCCGAACAAGTAATCACTGGTTGGAAATTATTAAGCGTGCATGATCAAACTGATATTAAAGAACAAAAGATATATACATATATATATAATGAATATTTAAATAAGAGATTAAACATAAGAGAGAACTGTACGAATAGAACGTAAGCAAGATGTGATCGTTTTTCAATGATGAAAACTATTATGGTAAATGCGTTTCAGGTGAAAAAGGAATTCATAGCGATGCTGCGTGAGCACAAAGACATCGACAGGCATTCGCACTGGAGCGATTGTAAGAAAAAATTGGAATCTGATTGGAGGTACAGAGTGGTAGAGTCGGCAAGCACGAGGGAAGATTGGTTTAGGGATTACGTTCGTATGCTAAAGGAGGAACGGAAAAAGGAGAAGGAGAAAGAGAAAGATCACCGACATAGGGACAAGGATCATCACAAATCCGAGAAGAAGGACAGGGACCGAAAGGACGTCGATAAGTATAAGGACAAGTCCTCCAAGGATCGGATAGAGAAGGACAGTTCGAAGGATAAGAAACGGAAAAGCGAAGCGCCCTCCGAGGAAAATGGCAAGGAAAAGAAGGAGGCGACCGCGGAAAAGGAAAGCGGCGAAATAGAAGATAACGACGACAAACCGTCCAAGAAAGAGAACGATGTAAGTACCGTCGGTTCGTCGTCGAAAACGGGACGACGTTTCGTACGCGCGAACAGATATTTGAAACGATCGTTTGTCCGAAAGGAGGACGCGGAAGAGCAGTCCGACTCGGAAGAGGATCGCGAGAAGCAGAAGCGTGAACGCGAGAGAAGAGCCGAGGCGAGTCTCCGCGAACGAGAGAGGGAAGTTCAGAGGACCCTCGCCACGCACCTTCGCGACAGAGACAAGGAAAGACAGCATCATCGTCACACAGAGGCGGTGCAACATTTCAGCGCTCTTCTCGCGGACCTGGTACGTACCTCGTAATTACATACTTTCTATGTGCCGATCGATCGAGCTTCCGATCTGACGCATACACGATTGCACAGGTGAGGAACGGTGACCTGGCCTGGCGAGAAGCGAAACGCCAATTGAGGAAGGATCACAGATGGGAATTGGCGGAGAGCTTGGATCGCGAGGAGAAAGAGAGGTTGTTCAACGAGCACATAGAACAACTGAGCCGTAAGAAGCGCGACAAGTTCCGCGAGCTCCTCGACGAAGTGGGTGCTTCCACGGAGCTCACCGCGTCGTGGAGGGATATTAAGAAGTTATTGAAGGACGATCCCAGATATCTGAAATTTTCGTCCAGCGACCGAGTACGTATCTCGCTTTACAACTAACAACGTCCTCTCGTTCGTCGTATCTCAATCATTATTTTCTTCGCAGAAGTGTGAGAAGGAGTTCAAAGAGTATATTAAAGACAAACTCGTTGCGGCCAAAGCTGACTTCAGAGAACTGTTACAAGTGAGTTCACGACGTCTCTAATTATTTCGCGATACATCTTGTACAATGAGTTTTGTCAAATCTCAATTTCAGGAAACGAAACTGATCACCGACAAGACGTACAAGAAGGTACAAGAGAACAATGCACATTTGGCAGAGATCGAGGAGATCTTGAGAAAGGATCGGCGATTTCTCGTTCTGGAAGCAGCGGCTGCCGAACGAACGCGTTTACTAATGGGATATTTAGAAGAATTGGCTCGCAGGGGTCCGCCACCACCTCCCACCGCTTCGGAACCGTCGCGGCGACCGACCACAAAGTAATTGTCCGATCAAAGATCGAAAAATTGTGAGAGACGTCTCTATACTGTTTTTCTGACGGTCGAATCTGTTTCTGTTACAGCTAAACGAGAGCGGAATCAATGCGCGCGATGTATACATACGGTGTCCGAGATAACAAATGATTTCTAGCTGTAGTTGAATTGCAGTACTTTACACACGAGATGATTATCGCATGTAATTATAGGATTCAATAAAAATTAACGCCAATTCGTCACACAGCTAACGGAAGAAAATACGTATGCATGCGCGTGTGCATGTTGTGTTTGTGTCATAGCGTGCGTGACGCGAAACACGCCATAACGTAAGCGTATCTGTCGATCTGCTGATTCACCTTCAGTAAAAATTAATACGTTCAAATCGAAGGAGGAACAATTAATTATATTCTATCGCGTGTAGCGCGAATTTTGTACGTACTTTATTCGATTTCGGTTATGCGAACCGATCCAAACATTACGAATATTTTGTATAAAAATTACCCAGCGCTCGTTGCGCACTTGTATTAGTTTAAACGATCATGTGCAGTGAACTTATATAAGTCGATGTTCAAATATAACAGATTGAAAAGATCGAGTCTTGTACTACCCGAAGTAACGAGTCAAAATCCATGACAATCATTTTTCTGACCAAGCACAATTCGCGAATCGATCTTTCAATTGTTATTTCCGTTCAGTGCTGTTCCATGACGAAATAAATAAAAATTCATATTCCATTGAGCAAAAGTTGAATGAAAAATAAAAAAATTTCACTCTAAAAGTTACGCGATCGATCGGTAAATACGAATTTGAACATAGCAGTTTTGGGATTTTAATATTACGTCGGTAATGACGAGACGCGTTTGGAGATTTGAATGCCTGTGTAGGAAGACGAACCGGAGGAGTCTACGAGGACTGGGACTTGAACGCCTGCAACGGAAGGTACGAACCCGATCGCAACGCGTGTTTCTATCGTACATCTCGCGATACTCCGATCCTACGATTTCTGAGAAGATATTTTTTGTCAATCGAGAAGCTGGGGGCAACGAACGATTAGAAAATCCAAGTGGGGATTCACGTGAAAATCGAGCCGACCGACCGTTCGTTGCTTCGAGCTCTCCGATCGATCATGAGATCCGAAGCGGCGGATTAATCCGTGAATTCGTACGCTGTGTCACGAAACGAAATACCGTATATACGATCGTACACGTTATATCTCCGACTTTGTTACCGTTAGAATCGTGGACCCGGCGTTGCACTTCCTGCTGACTCCGTACGAATACAAATTGGCAACTCGACGCCGCGACGTAACCGAATCTCCTCCCGTAATTTCACGCGAAGGGTCGTTGAAATTTTGAACGACGTTACATTTCACGGAAACCCCGTGGGAACCGTATTCAATTTTATCCTCACGACCCTGAGTCAGCAGGCCTTTTTAAAAGATGACTCGACGTTTCCCTGAATTCGTATCGTTCTTTACTAAATTCCATGGCTACAAGTTCCTGTACTTTATTAACGCTCGACGCTTAAATTCCGATTCCCCGGTTCGTGATCCGACGCGAGGAGCAAAGTCTAAAAACAGGATTCTGTCCTCTCTTCTCGGAGGGACCGAGAGGCTGTCGGTACGTGACGCAAAACATGCGGACAGGGTATTACTAATCCCGATACCGTTGCGGTGGTAATGCTAGAACCCATTACGGAGTATCGTCGTCATTGCATCACACGATCTGTTACTTTCCCTGACGCATCCCGACCTTGCTCTTCTTTTTCCGAGCGTGGCTCCTTGGCCGGACGTGATTCGACCGCGGAAGGGTTAACGAACGTGGATCGAAAAGGGAAAGAAAAAGTGCTCGCACGAAGGTCCTGGCGAAGGACGTGCCCGGGTTATGACGTTCACCCGGGCCCGCGCCTGCATTCCTTCGGGACCAGAAAACAAACAATTCTACCCGGTACCGAAATAGAGATGTTAAACAGCTATATATAAACCGAATGCAGAGTTTCGCTTTTTTAAATGCACTGTGCATGGACCACGAATGAAATATGTTACACGAATACAATGCCGAATTAAAAGTCACGAATCCGGCGTGAACGTCGTGAAACGTGCTAAAACGCCATACACGTTCAATTGGATTCGACAATATTTTATAATCGACATCTACATCGTTTTACAGGAGAATATTATTTATTTATTCATTTATTCATTTACGCACAGTGCCAGTATGCGAATGAACGCGGAACAGTAAATAATACAAGGGAGTAGTCGTACGTGTGCATTGATAAGGAGATAAGTGATAAAAAGAGAACGCAGAATTTTGCATTGATCGCGAGCTAATTAATTTATATTCCAACGACCACCTTGGAAGGGTATGCAAATCCTGGAAGCAGGATCTAAAAATCGTCTGGAAGGATCGTTGCTCTTCGCGGCCTTCGCAGAGGCACGAGGAAAGGTCGTACCCGGACGTTCACAAATTTTTGCTAAAAACCCGGTCCCCGTCGTTTTTCCAAGCGACCGCCCCTTCTCCCTCGCGGTCGGTCGTCACAAAGACGCGATCGCGTACAGAAGAGAGAGAGAGAGAGAGAGAGAGAGGAGAGCGGACGAAGGAGAGGGAAAGATCTCGATGGCCTCGACGTGCCAGCTCCGCCTCGCGCAGCCACCAAGTGAAAGTGGGATTTTGCTTTCTACCCGTGCGCTGGCCAGTGACAAGCGCGCCGTGCTCGCGAAACGTCTCCGTGTGCCCGCGAGGATGCCTGTCGATAAAACGTAGACGGAAAACTTTGAACGCGACGACGTCGTCGGGCCAGAGAATCAAGAGATGACGGTGTCACGTTACTGACGGCTCGGCCGGAACTGCCTCCGAGAACCTGAGTATATTCACGACGCTTTAAAAAAGGAAAACAGTGCCAACGGTGCGTCGAGAGGATGTCAAGGGACACTCGGTTCGTCGACGTTCTCCTCACGTTCCTGATTCTCGGCTGCTTCTTGAACGCGGCTCGCTGCCAGCAAGGTACGTCTCCCTCGCGTTTTCGAAAACCACCCTGCGGAACCGTGAACCAGCGTGCGCAAATCTGATCGCACGCGTTCCGACCGTAAGATCGCGCTACACAACCCGAGAACGGCGCGATCCTTTCATGGGTACGAGGAGAACGGAATTGTTAACTTTAAATGTCAAATCTTCTCCTCGAACTTTAACTCCGTACTACGCTGCTCCCGGCACATGAAAGAATCCTGTTTGTTAAATTAAAAGGCAATATCTTTAGCGTGATGGAGACGATGCACGGATGATCAAAGGCATGCGTAATATGGTGAACGAATCGTTGTACGATTATTAGGTAATTTTAATAAGAGAATCTCTGACGAAACCTCGCTAATAGACCGCGGGTTCGACGCATTTCCAACAAACCCAAAACCACGAATGAACGCTTGAACGATTATGGAGAACACTTCTTTCGAACGTTTCGTTTTGCATAAGAATCTGCAGTCGAGTCACGGGTCAACGGTAAAGACTCGAAATTGGTCGGACCGGGACTGGTGAAAAGGTCCGTTTGAATTTGACAACGTAATACCAGTGGCGAAGGCGTAGGTGGCATTTTATGTAATCCGTCGAGTCGGCGGCGTATGACTGTCACGACTCACTGGGAACGGTCGAACCTTACTGGGTTAATTCGTATTCTTCGAATCGACGAAATCGCCGATCGATCGCGTTTACAAGAGTCGGACAACGTGGAAGTCTTAACGAGGAACGCAATTTCAATTTACATCTGCCATCGTGTGTATAGAAATTGTAACGCAGAATGGGAATTTCCTGTTACGACGAGTATTACACCGTCGTGTCGCAAGACGATAGCTTTCGATGATCCTTTTTGCGCCCTCGTTCGCGAGCCGAGCCGCAATAATTTCGTAACGGAGCTACCATACTCGGCACTAGCCGGAGATGAAACAGATTCGCGCTCGAATTCTCTACCGTCGCGTCTGAGAACAATGGAAACCCCGTAAACGGTGGACGACCGTCAGTCGCGCAATTCTGGACGGTCCGAATTGGTGACCCAGAGACGCGTTGCGATACACGATAGAGCCGGGATTCTATGCATGAAGTTACACGCTAACGCAATTGAGGCCCCCCTATTGTTGTGCCCGGGTATACGTAATAACGATTTCGACGGATACAATTGAAAAACTCCGATAAAATTGTCTATCATTTTTTTCTATTATCGCCCATTGTGCAACGGGACGTATTGTGAGTCGTGGGACACGAAAATGAGTCGAATCGGATCCGGCGTCTCAATTATTATCTCCCGTTTCTCATCGGGATGTTGTGAAATCCCCGACTTCTAAACGCGCCTCTTACGAATGCAAAACGAGCTTGCGTAAAGTCAACTAAAAGTTCCGATATTATTCGCATTTCCATTAAACCCGTTCTCGCATACGTAGAAATATGCGAGTACTGCTAATTAAGAGCGACACGGTTCACCGATCTCACGTTTTGCGTCACGATTTAAAACTGTAACGCGGGAATACTTGCTGTGCCAACGCGATCGACCGTCGACGGAAGTACTTACCTGTTTCGACATTTTCACCCGATCGTTCCTATTAATTACGAGGCGAATAAACAGAATCCGTGAACCGTGTCCAGTGAGACTTGAAATATCATTACTCCTCTGTAATTATAATTTTTTCTAAAAGTTCATTGCTTCAAACTTTGGACACAGCTTTTTATTACGCGTCTTAAACTTTTGCCAGAGATCTTACGGCTCGTACAACCGTAATTGGAATCGTCGGTGAGACTGGACAAAAGTATTTATTACACAATGATTAAACTGGTCTCTCAGTAAATAATTGCTGAACTTTCTTGATATCTCGTCTCGTAACGTGGATAAGAAACTGGAACCGGGTGTCACTTACGTGACGGACAGTTCCCGGCATGTTTCACCGGAACTGTCGAACGGTTTCCGGCGGTCTCGATCACGAAATCACTCGATACTGCGTTTGCAGTTGAAACTTGTTTTGGTACTTTCACGATCGTGGCAGCAGGAAGTTTGAGCGAATTGTAACGGGTGTGCGTGCGGGAAAGGAGGCGAGAAGTCGCGCGTGCCGGGCTTAGGCAACGAATTCGCGCCGCAGCCGCGAATAATCGGCCGAATGCAGCCCGTTCTCCTTTCGACCCTAGCAACGTGAACTGCATGTATTTTTTGTCCGATCGTATCACGCTCGTCGACGTATTTTATACTAAAATAAGTCTAGGATCGACGGAACGAGTCGAACGAGGTTCACGTTCGGTGCCAAGCTTGCATTTTATTGTCAAAAGAGGAGAAATCATACCTCGTTTGGACGTTTGCTCGTAAGAAAGATTCGAGTCTAATTAAAAATTGATACGATTAAGAGAAGATGCGAATGATCCGATTGGTTAGCATGAAACAAGAAAGTGAAAATCGTAAAACACTTATCCATTCGTAGATTACGTTCAAATTTCACTTCATTCAAATAATCAACTTTCATTGCTAGTCCTTATACATAAATCATAGAATCTCCACGACCTCCTTAGTTCAATTAGAAAATAGTGTTTCGTATGTTTTGCTGCCGCGTAATCAGACTGCGAATTCTCGTGCATTTGCACCAGACACGTTTGCTAGAGTTTTTGAATGATGCGCTCAGTGCGCAAAGTGAATGCCATAACATTTAATAAGCAATAGCAATGCACGCCTGAATTTCATTCTTTTAATATCATACTCTAAATTCTTTATCTTACACGAAAGTCTGCAATCTAATTCTGTATGAAATAAATACACGTTACTGCGACATTTTACCAAGCCCTCGACCCATAATACATCCGAAGCGAGCGGTGCGACCTCGCACGATTTCATATCGATTAAAATCCTCTCTCTCTCACGAGATCACATGGACTCGTTTCTTTGTATACCGCAGACATTGAAATAACGCGTTCCGTGGCCATAGTACCGTGACTTCCCGTAAAATTTAAGTAATAACAAATTTTTAAAACGGACTGAAAAGTATAAAAAATAATTATAAAATACTTGCAAGATTTAAAACGAAAGACGTGGGTCGGCGCGTGCAGTAAATAATTGATGCATGAACAGTGCGCCCCATGTTTTTCGTTTTAAATCTACAAGTATTTTATAATTATGCTTTTAAGTCCATTTTAAAAACGTCATGTATTAAAATTGTTGTATCCAAATAATTCTTTTCTCCTTTTTAGTATTGCATTGTCATTCAATTCTGAGCGATGCTTAAGGATGTATTGGCTATACAGTCAATCCCAAGAGTTTATGCACTTTAGAAACGCATTTTTTAAAAAGAAATCAGACATCGGAAGAACATTGATAATAATAAACAACAAAAAAAGATTTTCGATTTTTCCGAGATTTTTCCAAGGGGTACCCCCTTCAATTTCTTCCAAATTTTCGTTTTTGGCCAATAACTCCCAAACCGTTGGACGTACAGAAAAAGTGCATATGACCTTTCTTGTAGAGAACGACGAGATCTACAATTTCCATGTAAAAGTTTTTCGCTATCGTCAATAGTTAACGAGTAGTTGGCAAAAAACTATTTTTTCGTTTTTAGTCCATAACTCTTTAAATATTAATGCTAGCGAAAAACTTTTATACATAAATTGTAGATCTCGTCGTCCTCTACAAGAAAGGTCCTATACAATTTTCCCGTAAATTCAACGGTTTAGGAGTAATTAAGGAAAAATGAAATTTTTTGCCAAAAGTTTGCCGTTTCGACGCTGGGATGGTCGGATTTTGTCAACATCAATAAAATGCCAAATAATCATACGTAACTCATTAAATATCGAAATTAGAAGGTAAACAACTTTTATTTGGAGCATTTTCCGAAATTTTGAAAAAAAAAATTTTTATCAGCGTCAATACTTAATTGGATATTTCCTTCTATACTTTTTAGCACGTAGCTATTTATTATTAGCATTATTCTTCCGATGTCTGATTTCTTTTTAATTATAGGAAATGCGTATTTCTAAGGTACATAAACTTTTCGGATTGACTGTATAGCCAATACATCCTTAAAGTTTCAAGTCTCTAGCTTATCGGG